TATTGTATCAATGGTCACATACAAATCAAATGGCTGGGTCTGGTTGATGGTTCTAAGTATCTGTGTTTGGCCAGTAGCCTGCTTGGAAGCTAGAAACATTCATTTAGTTGCCTTATTCTAGTTGTATGTTACTCTTTTTTTTAACACAAGATACACAAGGGATGTAACATTGGGCCAGGTGAGGATGAATATTCTCTAAAATCCTATAACCCCATAAAGGTTTGTGATTGCTTGGCTGTCACTGGTCAAAGCAATGTCTGAACCTTGTCGGTTACAACCAGTGGTATAGCTTTGATCTTACCCGACCACACAATTCCCAGGAACTTGACAGACAAACCAGGCCTTTTTTATTTTGAAGCCATTCATTGTCCCATGATTTCAGGGCAGCTCTCAGACTTCGTAGGCTTTCAGGCCTATAACTGCTCATTCCACATCTGTAAGAACCAAAGGTTAGCATGGTATCACCAACATAAAGATATAAAGCGACCATCTTGAATCACTGCCAGGATGCCAAGTTTTGAGTCATCAAATGGTGGGGTTATATAAATATCCCTGAGGCCAAATGACAATGACAAATGTACATTGTAGACCTTCCCAGGTGAAGGCAAATTGTTCTTGGTCTACTGCATAGTGGTACCGACCCAAAGTCAGAGTCCATTAGTCTGTCAGGTCCATGATGGATGTTACAGCCGCATGCATGCTCTCAATAGTCCACAGTCATTCTCTAGGTTTGATCTGGTTTCCACATTAGCCATATGCAGGTGTTGTAGGGGCTTCACAATTCTTACAGTCTGACCTTGCCAGAAGTTGTTTGGAGGGTTGCCTGTCTTCGAAAGATCTCCACATATATCCAAATATGTCAAAGGATATATTTAACGATTGGAGAGACATACACTGTTTATAGCTGGGGAGCCAAATGGCCTATATTCAAAGTCACAGTTAATGGCTTGACCTTGATTGTGTAGCTGCCATGGCCATCTATGTATGCAGCTGGCCCAGGAAATAGATCCAGATTTCCATAGACTAAAGTACAGTCAGCTCCAGTATTAATAAGGGCCACCAACATCCTCTGCATATCGGTGGGGGTAGTGAATAGTTAAGTCAACATGAGGTCTCTGGACTTCCAGGGTTCCCCTAGCTGGGCATCTAAGCCTCATCCCTAGCACAAAAGCGTGAGTTTACCAGATGCTAGAAAATCTTGGAGACATGCCTCATGCACTCCTCTTGGCCTGGACTTCATGTTCATTTTCTTAGGGAACCTCTGGTACAGTTGAACAGGGTTTAAGTGGTTTTATAGGTTTAACAGCAATCTATTTTGACTGGCAATCTATTTGCTCCTTATTGATTCCAGCCAGAATGAGATCTGTTTACATCTGGGCACATGAAACACGTTTTGCTCCTGACACATGTTTAACTCTGACTACCTACATCAAGTCCATGTAACATTTTATTTACTATCCCTGGCAACTCATCAGCATTGGCTTTTATCAGAGGAGCTCCAGCTGCTACTCAGCTCATTAGTGTTCTACCTGAGTTTGTGGTAGTAAGTTCTGCCTTTGAAAGGGCTGGGTGGTGATGGAAGCCAATTTTTTCATCTCCTCCAAAGTTAATGAGACATTATCTGTACCTTTATCACAGAACTGCAGCAGTCAGAAGGGGATGGAGTCCATGAGACTCTGCCCTGCTTTCCCAGCTCTTGGAGTTATCATAGCACAGGGAGTGTAGGATATGCGTTTAAACTCTGGGGCCTGCCATTTTGACTCAAGGTCTGTTCTACTTCTATTTTCTGTCAAGTCATCAGTCCAGCATGCGGTAGCGGATAGGGCATTTCTTCATATTTTGCTTCACCTTTGGTAGAGAGTCCCTCATGGAGCTCATGTTCCAAAACATATACAAAGAGTTCCAGTTTCTCCACTGTGGCTTGTAGCTCAGACGTCTTAGTTTCCCATCATAGGGTGTCTTCATGATCAGCCTTCAGTGCAATCAGGAACAGCCAGCCTATCTTTTCCAGCCATTATCCCTTTCTTTCTTGGCAAGGCATCTGCCACCACCCCCAGAATCTTTTCCAAGGACACAGGGGTTCTGTCCATTTCACCTCAGCTTTCCACTGAAAGGGAATCCTGCCAACTACATCAAATGTGGAGGCTGAGTTGGGAGTCAGGAATGGAGGGTCTCAAGGAGCCAGGAGGTTAAAAAAGATTCATGGAGCTTCTGGCAAATGAAACATGCTTTATTGTCTCCGGGCGAGGGCACACAGACTGCTGGGTAGGTGGACACTGGGTAAGAGCACTTGCACCCTTGGTCCTAAGGATTTTAATATACAAAATTACACAAAGATGGTATATTAGTTACTTTTCTGTTGCTGTGATAGAAACAGCAAACTGACCAAAGCAACTTACAGAAGGAAGAGTTTATTTAGCTTATGTTTCCAGGGAAATTAGAGTCCATCATGGCGAGGAGGCATGGCAGCAGAGGTAATTCAACCCCATGTTGAATTACAGCATTGTTGGTACCTTCCAGCCATGGAGAATGTGTGGACACTGACTGATGTTGGGGCAAGGTATGCCTTGGTTTTTGGCAACTCCTAAAAGTATTAAGATAAAGCTGTATAGGTGAAAATGATTCCACTTGACCTCCCATAAGCAATTACTTCTTCCCCTGAGAGTATGCTGTGTGCCCGTCTCCCCTTCAAGAAAGCATACTGGGAGTAGAGATTCTTCAACCAGCCTAAGGCTCTTTCAGCAGCCAGATACGGCCAGTGGAAAGAAGCCATGGAGCCAGCTTTGGGCCTGTCAGACTAGAGAGCTCATTCAAGCAGTGGGGCAACAGGTATGAGCTTGGCCTTGCTGTCTTTGGCCTGGGGTTTGGCCAAGTAGCTCAGTCTAGGCACTCTGAGCTCAGTGGGGTTAAGGAAATACAAGGCAACACTGAGAAGTACCCAAAGATGAGGAGACCAACTGGCTTATGGAAAGAGTTAAAAGTATTGCCCCTTCCCCCCATTCAAGTCACTAAACCCAGCATTACTCTTTTCTTGTTGTATTAGGCATTGCTAACTTTTGTTTAGTATCCCCTTAGCTCAAGAATCACAAGACCAAGTAGAACTTTCTTAGAAAGTATGATAGTTTGAATGAAAATGTCCCCCATAGGCTCCAAGTATTTGGACATTTTGTCCCCATATGATGGTGCTGTTTTGGGAGGTTTTAGAAGTTGTGGCTATCCTGGAGGAAGCATGTCACTGGGGGTGGGCTTAGACAATTCTTAAGCCTGGCCGGATCTCCAGTTGCTCTCTTGTTTCCTGTGCCTGCTGGAACATGTAGAGCTTAGCTTCTGCTGCTCCTCCTCCAGCCACCTCTGCCACCATGCCTCCCCACCAAGATGGACTGTTAATCCTGTGGAACCATAAGCTCAAATAAATTCTTCCTTCTATAAATTGCTTTGGTCAGTGTTTCTATTACAGCAACAGAACAATGACTAATACAGAAGGTGAACCTTCAGCGATCTTGCCCACCTGAAGAGTATCAAGGCCTTGAGGACCTAGTTATGTTTAGACAACATGGCACTAATATGGATTTCTTTCATGAGCCAAGATGGCTAGCACTAGACATCCAGAAGGCTTCGAGTCAGTACAAAATGACTGACACCAGATGTCTGGGGACCCCAAAGTAAACAAAGATATAATCTATTATATAACCAATATTGGCAAGAAGCTATCTGTGGTGGTTTGAATGAGAATGTCTCCAATAGGTGGTGCTGGTTTGGGACATTTTAGAAGGTGTGGGAGAAGCACCTCACTGGGGCTGGGCTTAGAGAGTAATTAAGCCTTGCTGAATTTCCAGTCACTCTCTGTTTCCTGTGTCTGCTTGGATATGAGTGCTGAGCTTCTGCTCCTACTCCCTGCATGGTTCTGACCTGCAGGCAACCTTAGCTACTCCATCATGGATGTGGCTGAGATCTTCCTCCATAGAAGTGTGTGCAGAGGATCTTCAAAGTCTCCCTCTTGTCTCCCTTTGTGAGCTGTTTCAGATGGAAGGCCTTCCAGAAGCTCACAAGCACAGTTTCTGTATTCTTTGTTTTTGTTTTTTGTTTTGTTTTGAGACAGGGGCTCCCTCTAGCTCCAGCTGGCCTGGAACTTGCTATGTAGACCAGGCTGCCTCAATCTTATAGAGATTTGCCTGCCTCTACCTTCCGAGTGCTGGGACTAAGGGTGTGTATTACTGGCAGCTTCTGGTATTCGCAAACCTTTTCCTTAGGCTTCCCAGGGTGTCATCTGGATGGCAGCTCTGCTGGGGCTGAAAAGAACACCCATGGTACAGCAGGTACTTAACTCACTAGGGCTGAATTAAGGCCTAATAGTAAGGCAAAGTGGCAGTAGGTCAGGGTGGGGACTGCCAGGATTCATTTTTATAGGTACAGGTACAGCTTGGGCAGGGAGACCAGCTGTGAGGAACTTCTTTTGAGACTGGAACCTAGACTTTTGTTTAAGATGTATAAACCAAGGATGAGTTGCACTCTCCTGAGGCTCACCTAGCAGGTGTGCATTGGGAAGGATGGTGCACCTCAGGAGGGCCAAGTACACTTAGTGAGAGATGTTGTGACACGAAGGAATCAGGATGAGGGGTGGCAGTCATCCCATGAACCCAGAGCCTGCTTCTCACTAGATTAATCCCATGTGGATCACAAAGTGCAAAAGGCAAGGACTCCCTCCTCTGTCAAATTCTAGGTCTTGACCTTTGGTTTATGATTATCCAGGAGCCAGCCAATGAGGTGCCAGCACCAGTTTACACCTCAGAGCTAGGGCAAGGTCTATCACATTTTCTTCAATGCCACTTGGAAGTTGGGACAATCTTGAATACTCTCAGCTCTGTGGTACCAGGTGAGGGGACAGAGCGATAAAGCAGGGCAGGGTAGCTCTGTGGACCTGAAGTCTCACAGGCTTCCTGGGGATTCAAGGGCAGGGTATTTGATGATGAATTTTTGCCTTTCCACAGATTAAATCTCCAACCCGGGGGAAGAGAGTTCCCTGAAACTTGTGCTTGAAAACAGAATTGTCCAGTGATGTATGGACCCTGAAGAGGAACAAACAGCTGAGGACATTACACCTTTCTTCAAGTGTACCAAAAGACCACATAATCAGTTATTGGGTAAGGAGGACAGAGGGAAGGGACCATTTATATCCATGCTGTATATAGGTTACTGTATTAACTCCTCAAACCAACCCTAGAAAACAGGTGTTGTATTATCCTGTTCTACAGATTAAGACACACAGGCTGAGAGGTTAAGTGACATGTCCAGGGTCACATAGCTAGAAAGAAGGAGAAACTGGGGGAGATAGCAGGTGTTTGCTGACCCAACCCTTTTTCCTGGTGGTGTCCTGGTTCTTCTTGGGTGAGACTAGAAGGCACACTCCTGAGCAAAGTCTCATGGCTTCCAGAATAGAGGGGTGCCTGGGTATTCACATAGCTTCCTCTCTCTTCTGCAGGGATCAGGGAAGGTGTGCAGGCAGGCCTACCTGCCTCTTGTGGATGCAGATTTGAGACCCAGAAGTCTCCACATGGCTCCTTATCACATCCGACAGTACCAGGAAAGAGACTACGAAAGAGTCCTGGACTTGTTTGTCAGGGGCATGAAGGAGCACATCCCTGATACCTTCTGCCACATAATGAAGCTGCCTCGAACCTTCCTGCTCTTACTTGGAGCACCCCTTGCCCTAGTCTTGGTGTTTGGCTCCTGGCTCCTGGCCATTGTGTGCATCTTCTTTCTCCTTCTATTCTTGTGGCTTCTTGCTGGACAGCCCTGGAGGGACTATGTGGCTGAGTGCTTGCACACAGACATGGCTGACATCACCAAGTCCTACCTGAGTGGGCATGGCTCCTGCTTCTGGGTGGCTGAGTCTGGAGGTCAGGTGGTGGGTACAGTGGCTGCCCGGCCAGCTGAGAATCCCCCAGTAGGGAGGAAGCAGCTACAGCTCTTTCGCCTATCTGTGTCCCCACAGCATCGAGGACAGGGCATAGCAAAAGCTCTGGTCAGAACTGTCCTCCAGTTTGCACGGGACCAGGGCTACAGTGATGTTGTCCTCGAGACAAGCATCTTGCAGCGAAGTGCTATAGCCGTCTATGAAGCTATAGGATTCCAAAGGACAGGCCAGTTTTTCTTTGGTATAATCACAAGATTAGTTGCTCTTTCTGTAATTAATTTCACGTACACTCTCCCTTCTGCTCAGGAACATGGGCTGTGATCTTATTTCTTTCTGTATCTGTCAGGCTCCAATTTATTGTTCTGTAGGAATAACCAAACCCCAATATTTTCATGTATAAGTCATAAAAGCACATTTACATGTTCATTAGATTCCTGTTTATTTGATATGAGTGAAAGAATTGAATTGAATGAAGAGTTTTGTTTCCTCTAAAATCAACCTCCTGCAAAGTATCAGATGGCTAATGATAAAGTGGGGGTAGTTTTCATGTCCTGACTAGCTGTGTGGCCCCTCCTGGCATGGGCCAGTCCTATGGGTCAGTGTCAAACATGGAGCATATCACTAGATCCAAGAAGAGGATTTGGGACTGGAGAGTATCCCAGACTTAACACTCTTGGTACAAAGATTGGCCCCAGTCTCTGTCTTAAGGATCAGGGGCTCCAGAACTTAGGTGCCTCAGGCTTGACCATATCATCCAGATACCTGGGTGGTGGGACATCACTTTGTACTGCTGTGTGCAACACTGTCTTCTATTCCTGCAGCTTCAGCTCTAATACTGCAGTGCCATCAGGTGTCTTTCATTGGGTTCCTTCCAATCCAGTGGGTCTTGCTGATCACAGTTGTCTAGGTGCCCCTCATCCAGTAACTCCTGGCCTTCAGGTGGTACTGGAGCTGCTTTTCTGCTTTGGCATTGCATCTCGCTCACAGCTCTCTTCTCTTAGGGATCTGGCTGGCAATTCTCTGCTATCCTACCCACTGGCCTTTTCAAGTCCATTTCACTTCATGGAGTCCCTTTACCAAAACATGGAGTGGCTCCAAACTCAAGCAGGAACACATGCCTCTCTCTGTACCATATATACAGTGTTCCTTGCCTCTTGTTGCCTTGCTGAGTACCACAGTCCTCTCCACAGGTCCAACCTCCTCCTCTCCCTGCGTGCTTCTCAAATAATTCGACCATTCAAACCTGTTATCCTGCCCATCCTATCCAGGCCACCGTCTATGCCAAGTCACTGCTGCCTCCAGATCAGCTTCATTCTTAACTATAGGCCCCTCAGGACAGCTCTGTGTGTCAGGGAGGTGCTAGACTCACCCTCCTCAAGTCTTTCCTACTCTGCTTATACCAGCACACCGCATGCACAAAGCCAGCACTTCCAAGGGGTAGTTTTAGGGACACGAGAGGTTGCCTGGTTGTCTCTGTACTTTGTTTTTAAGTTTTTAAAAATTTCATGTGTATCATGTAGATATCTATACAGATACAGATACATAGATATCTATATAGAGAGAAAGGAATGTAATGATTGTATATTCGCATAACTATTCAAATACATGATAATTCTGTGCTTACTGTTTAAACTCATCTGTAATTAATATTTTCTAGGTCAATAAATACAATTCTTTAAAAAAATTTCATGTATATGAGTGTTTTGCCTGCATGTTTGCAAGTATATCACCTGTGTGCAATGCCCACAGAGGCTAGGAGAGGATATCAGATCTCCTGGTATTGGAGTTATAGACACCAGTACTAGCCAGCATGTGGGTGCTGGGATCTGATCTGAACCCAGGTCATCTGCAATAGCAGCCAGTGCTCTAAACCGCCGAGCCATCTCTTCAGCCCCTTCCTTGTACTTTGAAATGTATACACAAAAGCAGGGAAATAGTTTTCCTCATCCAGGACATCCATGGACCCTGGATACTGGGGACCTGATACAGAGAGGGCTAGCAGAACAATGAAAAACTGTTGTGAAGTGAGGGGGAGTCCTGGAACGCCATGTGGAGCTCCGACCCCTCATGACAGAGCTCCATTGAATCAAGACTCTCTTTCTGTTGTGTGATTATTTCTATAGAAACTTGAAACCAACATCCTTTCCCCCATAAATCACATCCATGACAGACCATAGTCTGTCTTGATGAACCAATATGTCCACTGAGGTTATTTATAGGAGTACCTATGACAGGAGCATAAGGGGATTCAGACAGCTGGGTAAACAAAAGACTAGTTCAACAAAGACAAAGATCTACAAAAGCTTCATCACTGGAGTTCTTTGCACACCCTGCTTTGAAGAGTCTCGTACTACCAGGAATTGCTAACTGCTTATATAAACTTGGGAGTTTCCTGAGCCTTCCTTTCTTCCCAGAAGGGAATATTTCAGTATGGAGGAAATGGCTACACAAAATTCCATCCCTTCTGCCAGCTCATATTTTCTTGCAGCCCACTCTCCCTCAGTGTTCCTTGAGCTACATATGATAATAAGGATGTCAATAGTGCAGACCACAGAGAATGGCTAGTTATGAGTCTCCATAGTAACAATTGCCCAATGAAAAAAACCAAGTTTCTCTCTACAACCATAGGTGACAGCAGCATAGGTGTCGGGAGCTGCTAACCATTGAGCTGCAGCAGCCTCATTTACTGAGTTTGTGTCATGCAAACCAGTACTTAACCTGCCCATTCAGGAGGAAGGAGTTTTCTGGAGAGCCTCACAATACCTGACCTTGAGGCATTAGTGGTAAACAAAAGGATCCAAGAAGCCTTTGATCTGACCGCTCCCTGACCCTCAGATACAGGTGGGGAAATACAGCAGTTGTAACTAATTGAGTTCTTCTGTATAAAAAGACAGAGCTGAAATAAACCGAGGCTGGCAGTATTGACTGTGAGTCCTCCCAAGAAGCATTTTTTCTGTCTCCTTTCCTTTCTTTCAATCCTCACTCCCCCTTTCAGGTACTGTCCGTTTTGGCCGGCTGGCACCGGCACATAGGTACAAACACAAATGTTTAGAAGGTAGTTTGACAGGCACATGACACTTATTTAACAAAACATTAGCAATAGCGTCCTATACTTATTGTGGGTTCTCCTCAGGCCAGCTGTGAAGACCCTGACCTGGATTGGGTCCTCTGCCGATTATGGGGGGCAAGAGGTGTGGAGTCAACACACAGACCCTGGGAGTCCGGTAGAAGCAAGTGCTAGGCGAGGTGCTGCAGGCTCGTTTAAAGCAGGAGGGGGCACGCCTTATATTTCCCTTTTCTCTGCCCCCAAGTCTCTTTAGTCAGTGTATCATTTTCTGATTGGTCCGCGCCACGCAGTCTGTCAGCAGTCACTGGGCTCACTGGATTCTGTGTCATTTCCCTCTCAAAGGCTTCTAGACAGGGGGAGAAAACACATTTATCCATCCCTTTAGAACAATAGCTGGTTGTCTCCCTTAGCTACAGGTGGCCACTACAGTATTGGAGACCAAGATTTGAAGTCTTACATCTGAGCAGCACTTTCTGGTTTGGATCATTTTGGTGTCTGTTGTGATGTTTCCGCTTTCATTCTGTTGATTTGGAAGTGCTCTTGCTTTCTTTTGGTTATCTGGGCTAGTGGTCTGTCAATCTTGTTTATCCTTTCAAAGAACCAGCTCTTGGATTCGTTGATTCTTTGTATTGTTTTCTTTGTTTCTATTTCATTAACTTCTGACCTGATTTTTGTTATTTCTTTCTTGTCTGCTTCATTTGGGTTTCATTTGTTGTTGCTTTTCAAGTATCTTGGGTTACAATGTTAAGTCATTTATTTGTGTTCTTGTTTTTTTTTTTTTATTTTCACTCAGTGCTATAAAGTTCCCACTTAGGACTGTTTTTTAAATATCTCAGAGGCTGTGTTGTGTTGTATTATCCTTTCCATTGAATTCCAGGAATTCTTTTATTTCTTTCTTAATTTCTTCTTTGACCCACTTATTATTTAGGAGTGTGTTGTTTCATCTCTATGAGTTTGTGTAGTGACTAGGGCTTCTTCCGGTGTTGATTGTAAGCTTTATTGCATTGTGGTTTGATAGAATGCATGGAATTATTTCAATGCTTTTGTATTTGTTAAGGTTTGTTTTGTGCCCCAGTATATGGTCTATCTTGGAGTTCCATGGGGTGCTGAGTAGAGAGTATGTCCTTTGGTGCTTGGGTGGAATACTCAGTAGATATCTGTTAAGTCCATTTGATATATGGTTTTGTTTAATTCAGATGTCTCTCTGTTAAGTCTCTGGCCTGTTCACCTATCTAATGGAGATAGCGGCGTATTGAAGTCCCCTACTATTACTGAGTTGGGGTTAATTTGGGTCTTGAAGTCCTGTAGTATTTTTTTTATGAAGTTGGGTGCACTAGAGTTTGGTGAATATATGTGCATGATTGTAATATCTTCTTGATTTATTGCTCCTTTGATCAGAATGAAGTGTCCCTCTTTATCTCTTCTGATTAGTTTTAGTTTAAAGTCTATTTTGTCAGATATTAGAATTGCTATGCC